CTCAATCTTGTGCCCTGCTGAACTCATTAGTGATAATGAGGTGGTAGAAGGAGATGTTGTAAGTAATATCAACAAAACAGCCCCTCTTGTTTATACTTTCATAAGAGACTTGGGATAAAAGGGAAATATTAAAGGGAGATTCAGATGTTAGAATTTATCCCTAAAAAACTTATTTCCAGAGAAAATAATGTAGGCATTGCTTAAACTTTTTACACTTTATTTGAAGCTTAATAAAAATGGAGCCTACTTTATTATTCAGGTACTTTGTAAATAAATACCATTTTTATTATCAGTAGCTATTTTGGTTTTTTTTTTTTAACTTCCAGAGACTTGACTTAGTAGGAACTCTCAGAGCAAGTGCTATATATAGCAAGCCTGGAATATTTTTAGTCTTCTTTTTTTCTTTTTCATTTTTGAATTTCCTGTTTGTATGCTTCACCTAATTCGTTTTTTTTTTTCTTTTTTAATTTATTTTTGGTTGCGTTGGGTCTTTGTTGCTGCGCGTGGGCTTTCTCTAGTTGTGGCGAGTGGGGGCTACTCTTGGTTGTGGTGCGTGGACTTCTCATTGCGGTGGCTTCTCTTGTTGCAGAGCACGGGGTCTAGGTGCGTGGGCTTCAGTAGTTGTGGTACGTGGGCTCAGTAGTTGTGGCTCGCGGGCTCTAGAGCTCAGGCTCAGTAGTTGTGGCACACAGGCTTAGCTGCTCCGTGGCATGTGGGATCCTCCCGGACCAGGGCATGAACGCGTGTCCCCTGCATTGGCAGGCGGACTCCCAACCACTGCACCACCAGGGAAGCCCCTAGTCTTCTTGCTAATGGGAATTTTGCAGCTAGCTTTGAAAGAGTGTTCTCTACATCATAGCCAGGTAAACCTTTCAAACCTTTAATCTTATCCTCAGTCACTTTCCATACTTAATGTAGACTAGAAGGTCTTGTTTATTATAACATCAGCCCATGCCTCTCTCTCTCTGCCCTCAACCATGCCCCTTGCTCTCTGTGCTCCTAACCACTTGGATATTCTTTCAGATTCTACATCTTCCTATGTTGTTTTCTTGCCACAGAACCTTTTTTTTTTTTTTTGTGATACGCGGGCCTCTCACTGTTGTGGCCTTTCCCGTTGCGGAGCACAGGCTCCGGACGCACAGGCTCAGCAGCCATGGCTCACGGGCCCAGTTGCTCCACGCCATGTGAGATCTTCCCGGACCGGGGCACAAACCTGTGTCTCCTGCATCAGCAGGCGGACTCCCAACCACTGCGCCACCAGGGAAACCCCCACAGAACCTTTTAATATGCTGTTCCCTCTTTCTAGAATGTTCCTTCACTATTCCCCTTGACTCCTACTGATCTTTGATATCTCAGTTTAAGTGCTACCTCAGAGAAACCTTCATGAGCATTAGGTTCCTTTGTTTTACGCTTTTGTGTACCTTTCCTTCTTACTCCTTGTCTCTTTGCAAAAATGTGTTTAGCCTCCTCCACTAGGTAAGTGCCCCAGTAGAGTGAGTCTACATCTGATTCTGTTTACCATTGTATTTCTAGCTCCTAGCATAATGGCAGGTATATAGTTTTTGCTTAAGAAATACTTATAGGGGACTTCCCTGGTGGTCTGGTTAAGAATCTGCCTTCCAATTCAGGGGATGTGGGTTCGATCCTTGGTCAGGGAACTAAGATCCCACATGCTGCGGGACAACTAGAGAGCCCACGTGCCACAACTAAGATCCGACACAGCCAAAAATAATAATGAATAAATGAGAGAAAGAAAGAAAGAGAAATATTTATGGAATGGATTGATGAATTTCTGACTGAATCCTTCCTTTGCTTTTTGGTCAGTTGCCTCCTTGAGTTCTTTCTGAGAAGCTTCCAGGGGCAACTGCCTTAGGATGTTTAGCCCATTATTTATAACTGAACGTTATAACGTATGATGGATCTAGGCTTGTTATTTTATTTTTTATAGGTAAATTTTTTTTAAAGAGGTGTAATTTGCATAGAGTAAGATACACATTAATCATAATTATGTCATGGAGTCCATTTTTAGGTGAAGTACTAGGTTATACAGAGTATTTAGTACCACTTAACTAATTGGTACTTGAAAGAAAATTCTGACAGTGATTTGAACAATCATTGTAGTAAATATAGGAACCTTACAAAATGACTTCTTTGAAGGACATTATCATTAGGAAGTATAGTTGTGCTCTATTTCATAAAGTTATTTTTAAGAGTCTCATTTCTTCATGAGTTTATAACTTGGGAGTCCATATCTATTAATGGGCTTTAGTGAATCAGTGAACTTCCTGAAATTATTTGTAAAATCATGTACATGCAGGCATCATATTTATCTTTTTCTGAAGTAGGGATCAGTACATAGTTTTTTTTTTGTTGTTTTTTTTTTTGCGGTACGCGGGCCTCTCACTGTTGTGGCCTCTCCCGTTGCGGAGCACAGGCTCCGGATGCGCAGGCACAGCAGCCATGGCTCACGGGCCCAACCGCTCCGCGTCATGCGGGATCTTCCCGGACCAGGGCACGAACCCGTGTCCCCTGCATCGGCAGGCGGACTCTCAACCACTGCGCCACCAGGGAAGCCCCAGTACATAGCTTTGCTCAGCTATCAAAGGGGGTCTGTAACTTTGTGCTTTTGCCCCACCCCCAAAAAGGTTAAGAACCGTTGTTTTATATCATGTATATTATGATTTGTATGTAGAGTTAGTTCATCGATCCTTTATTTTTCCCTCTTGAAGTTCATTATGGAACACTTCAAACCTATAACAAAGTAGAGAGAGTAGTGTAATGAAATTTGCATACCAGTTAGCTTCAGTGGTTATCAACTTACGGCCAGTCATATTTTATCTATACCCAATGCACTCTCCTCCTTTGGCTACCCTCATCCCCATTATTTTAAAGCAAATCCCAAGGCTTCCCTGGTGGCCAATGCAGGGGACACGGTGGCCACCTGCCAATGCAGGGGACACGGGTTCGAGCCCTCGTCCAGGAAGATCCCACATGCCGCAGAGCAACTAAGCCCATGCGCCACAACTACTGAGCCTGCGCTCTAGAGCCCATGCTTCGCAGCAAAAGAAAACACCGCAATGAGAAACCTGAGCACCACAACAAAGAGTAGCCCTCACTCTCCGCAACTAGAGAAAGCCCGCGTACAGCAACGAAGACCCAATGCAGCCAAAAATAAATAAATTTAAGTATATATATATTTTTTAAAAAAGCAAATCCCAGATATAATTTCACCAGTAAATATTTCGGTGTGAATCTTGCAAGAGATAAACAGTATTTTAAAAAACCTAACTATAGGGACCTCTATGGCTGTCCAGTTGCTAAGATTCTACGCTTCCACTGCCGGGGTGGGGCGGGGCAGGAGACGAGTTCAATCCCTGGTTGGGGCACTAAGATCCCACATGCCACACGGTGTGGACAAAATAATAAATAAATTGTATTTAAAAAATAAGTAAAAAGCCTAATTATAATACCATTATCAAATATAAAAGTAACCTATAATAATTCCTTGGATTAGTATCATCCAGTATTAAGTAATAAGTCATACAATGTCATGTTTAACCTTTTCCAATTGTGTTATGCTCTTTTTTATTGTTTGAGTCAGTCCAAATAAGATTCATACTTTGATTCTTGATTTTTTTTAACATATCTTTTAATCTGCTGTCTCTTTTTTTCCTCTTGCAATTTATTTGAATAAATCCACCAGTCCATCTTAAGAGCATTTGCTACTTGAGAATAAGGGGCATTTCTTACTCCTTTTTCTACTCCTTGCTTATATAATACTTGGTATAGTGCATTATATATGGATATTTAGGGAATGGGAGGGGTTTAGAAAATCTGATTTCTTTTTTTCAGATAGAAATTTATTATGGAATATGACACATATTGTCTTTTTGATAAATATGTCTTTTTAACAAAGGAACTTTCATTTCAGTTGCTCTGGAGACATTTCCCTCCCTGCCCAAGAAATTCCTTTTTTCTTTTGGTTACCTTTTGAGCCTTAAATTTAAAACCAAAATCCTTCTGTTGTTTGTCTCACTTAAAAAATAATACATACCAATTTTTATTTTTTTTATAATTCAAAGTTACATAATTAGAATATCCTCAGTAATCCTTCCTTCAGAGGCCAACACTTAATAGTTCAGTATATATATTTTTCCTCCCAGCTTTTTCACATTTATATAATTTTTAGTGGAATTATTATAGCTTATATACTGTTGTACAACTTGCTTTTTCTATCTGGCTATTTTTCCATTTTAGAAAACATATAAATCTACCTACTTCAAAGGCCTTATTTCATATTATATATATATATATATATATATATATATGTTTATAATCAGTTTGCTGTACATATAACCCTTGATTTCTAATTTTTTTACCTTTGTAAAAATCTGTCACAGTGTTCTATTATGTATAACTTTTTCCAGTTGTATGTGCCAGTTGTATATTTGGTAAAAGCTCTAGGCATAGACTGTGCATTTGTCTTGGGTAATGTACAGTTTGATTTTACTTAGTAAACTTGTTTTTGCTACTTTGGAGTATAATTGGAAAATAGAAAAGCATTAGGAAAATAGATTTCAAACGTATCATTAAAAATAGAACTTATTTCTTATAAACAGTTCTGTTTTAATTGAACACTAGTCTAAAAGTAAGCCTCCTTATCTAAAATATACACTAGATGAGTTTCTCCTTTAGTGAAAGGCACACATCATTTACCTTTGATAGTTTCTGTAAGTAACACTGTGCTCAAGTTCAGTGCCTTTTTCTTTCAGAGAGAAAAGAGGAATAGAAGGTAGAAGAAGATGCTGGGATCTGAACGTGGTGTTGTGGAAGAATGGTTATCAGAATTCAAGGTAGATTGGATTGAGGATAAGAATGTGTCATATGATTCTATATATCAGTAATTCAGTTATACATGTTCACGGAAAAACTGAAACGAAAGTTACGAAGTAGGAATAGCAAAATATGAAATAACATGTTTCTGTAGCTGCACCTCTTTACAAATTTTAGGCACTAATGTGAATAATGGCTAGAAGGTAATGTAAAAATGAAGCTAGTAAACTTGTTTTTGCTACTTTGGAGAATAATTGATATGGATTGATATCAATAGATTGATAAGGTGATATATAAATTTTAAGATATATTCAATAAAAGAGGGGAAGCCTCCAAGCTTTAATAAGGCACAGAAATGAGATTTGTGCCTTATATTTTTATTTCCTGTGATTAAAAAATCACTCATTAATTTGATTGAAAACGATATAATTTATAAACACTATGGAAATAAGTGTTTTGTGAACATAAAATACACGAATTGAAATATATCCCACACTCAGGGACATCCGTGGCAGTCCAATGGTTAAGGCTTCGCCTTCCAATGCAGGGGGTGTGGGTTTGATCCTTGGTTGGGGAGCTAAGATCCCACATGCCTCGCAGCCAAAAAAACAAAATGCAAAACTGAAGCAATATTGTACCAAATTCAATAAAAAGACTTAAAAAAATGCACACCTCATTAAAAACAAAAGTATTGCACACTAATCTTTTAGACTAGATTATAAGGTGACTCATTTCAGCAAATCTTGGTGTAATGTGTGATTTCTAATCATTTCTCATTGTTGAGTAGTTAGAAGAATTGTATAACATCCTAACTAATTTGTTTTATTAACTCTCATGGTTATTTCTTATATTAATTATTTTTACTTTTCTTAGTTGACTCAATTATAAATCTTTTCAAGAGGAACTCATATAAAATAAAGTTTCTAACTTCTCAAATATTAAGTTCATTTTTGGTTTTCTTTGATGTTTTCTTTTAGGCATTACCTGACACTCAGATCACCAATTATGCAGCAACTTTACACCGGAAAAAAACACTGGTACCAGCCCTGTATAAAGTTATTCAAGATTCGAATAATGAGGTAGGAGAGTTTATAAGAAAAGTAATTTTAATGTAGTACATAATGAAATATGTGCACTAAAACACATACATGTAAGTTTTGCAGTTTTCCTTCTTTTTTTTAAATCCTTCCAGTGGGAATGGAAAACTTTCTTTCTGCTATTTTTCATTCTGATAGTTGCTTTGGCTTTCCCCATGACCCCCCTCTTCATATTTTTTAATGTTTTGATTAAATTTGTTCCTGTTGAGGACAGTATGTTTTGATTCTTGATTTGAGTGACCACCATCTCAGTAGCTTATTTATTTAATTTGAAACTTTTCTCTGTTTCCTGTTCTGGAATGTTTCCTTTCCTGGAGTCCAAATTTTAACCATATACTGATTGAGATTTATTAATTTTAAGTATTGTTTGCAGTCCTTTTATTGACGGTAAAGAACTATGTGTAATCACTCTAATTAGTGAATTCAGTCAAACTGGTAACATGAAATGATGCTGCTGTAAGTTTAGTTTGAAAATGATCAGAGAAAGCCTAAATAGTCAGGATCAGTAAACTTAGAATAACAGTTTCCTATTATTTAGCCTGTGCTAGAAGGGAAAAAAAGTGCAGTTATTGGCTCTATGTGTTAACTTACACAAAATACACACATTTTCTTTCCATTAACACAATAGTATGACATACAGTTTTATCACCACTGGATTCATGTATGCTTTAAAATGAAATGAAAGGAACACACAGGAAAGTAGCTTCTTATCTTCCCAGATACAGCCTCCAAGAGTGCCTCTGCTGTGTACTGGAGTGAGTTTGAAGAAGTTCAGGTAATCATCTCCTAACCAGCAGCTTAACTTAAAGTGCATCTTCATTTTTGTACTATCACTAAAATCTTGCTTATTGACCTCTTTCTTTCCTATCTCCTAAACTTGGATTGGCTCTCAGTTGGGCTTGCATCTGTTGCTATTTGTAGCAGCAACCGCAGGATTCATTTGCTTCTTTTTCTCTTGCTATGTATTTTTGAATGTTTGATAACTTTAGGTATGGTAATGGACATATATGCATATCCTTCTTGGTCAGGAGTTTTCAAAATTCTGTGTGAATATTGAATGTATGTATCCCTTGTTTTGCACTGTCTTAACATTAAGTTTTGCTTATTAAAATGCATTTGTTTTATGCTTTCTCTTTAAATTGTAAGCTCTTCATGGGCAGTGGTCGTATATTCTATATCTGTTAACATATATATCTGTTAATTCCCTAGAATCCAGTATTTTATCATGTGCATGATGAACACTTAATAAATATTGATTAGAAGAATAGTGAAATACATGGAATTCTCTGGCGGTCCAGTGGTTGGAACTCCACGATTTCACTGCCATGGGCACGGGTTCGGTCTCTGGTTGGGGAAGTGAGATCCTGCAAGCCACGCGACCCAAAAAAAAAAAAGAATCACCGGGGGAAAAAAAAGAATAGTAAAATACAAAATGAGATTCTAAAATGCTGTCATTTTCATTAGGACTCACAAGTATGTAAAATGTATTGGCTTCCATTTTTTTCTTTTATGCTTTGGAAGCTGTGATATTATAAGAATTAACTCACTTTATATTGTCATACTTCATAATACTAATGTGTGAGACTTTGTCAAGGCTAGAAATAGAAAAATTACAACTTGAGAGACTCAAGCTCAAGACCCAGCAGTCATTATAATCAACCAGTTACTAGAACAGGTCTGTCTTTCCATCCTTCCTCCTGTCAGGTCATAAGATTCTAACCATGCATTCATACTTCAGAAAAACAGAGTGTTAAGTTCCGTAGAATCTCAAAGCAATTCTGGACTTCGGTTCTAGAAGGAGAACGCTTTTAGTCCTGATTTTGTTATATTCTGAAACATAAATGTATTATTTACTTAATAAGAAACAAATTTGCCTTAAATACCATGAAAGTTCTTAAGAAAGTATATTTCCTAGAAGTTCTTTTTTTGTTGTTTTGTTTTGTTTCATTTTTTGGCCCTGCCACGTTGCATGGCTTGGGAGATCTTAGTTCCCCAACCCGGGATCGAACCCGGGCCACGGCAGTGAAAGCGCTGAGTCCTAACCACTGGACTGCAAGGGAATTCCCAAAGAAGTTTAATATTACATATCATGGCCAACCTGTACTACAGCTCAAGTTTTAATCTCTAGACCAACATGTTGCTTTATTTTTCTCCTTTCCTTCCTTGCAGATCCCTTAGTCACTCTAGCAGTTCTTCCACTTCAAGGAGACCATTAACCCTATTGCTTTGTTATGATTTGATTGTCCTTTTGCCTCCCTTCAAATGTCTCACTTCCTTCAAATGTCTCACTTGCCTCTTTTCTTAGCTAAATTTTCTTGATCCATCATTATAGTCATTCCCTTGCAAACATTCTGAGCTCCTTTGCCTCTCATTCCCTTAGTTCATATTCTTTGGGCAAAATCTCAACACTGGATAAAACCCAGCCATCCACTTCATGCCTGTACCTGAGCGGCTGAACGTACCTGAAAAAAACACAATTTTGTTGACTTTTTCCATTTAAATGCAGGACTAAAAATCATAAATGAGCACATAATATTTCATTGGTACACTGTCCCAGTGTTCATTTTATACCTTCTCTTTCCTCACACTTACTGCCCTTCCTCCTCATTTTCATTTTGCCTTCTGTGTCATTATAAAAGAAGAAAATAGTTGGAAACTCTATTCTCCCATTCAAATCTACCACTCTACCAGCATCTCTACCCACCCTCTCCTGCCATTTCATCTGTTCGGTAGATGAAGAGTCTTAGCTTGTATCAAAGGCCATCTCTTCCACTTAGGCCTGGATCCCATCTTCTCTAACTACCTCAAAGATTGCTACTGCAGTTATCCCCTCCCTTTCCTCTGTCACTGATTCCTTTTTTCTTAAAACAGCAGTGTTTTTTTTTAATTTATTTATTTTATTTATTTATTTTTGGCTACGTTGGGTCTTCATTGCTGCGTGAGGGCTTTCTCTAGTTGTGGCGAGCAGGGGCTACTCTTCATTGTGGTGCACAGGCTTCTCATTACGGTGGCTTCTCTTGTTGTGGAGCATGGGCTCTAGGCGTGCGGGCTTCAGTAGTTGTGGCATGCGGGCTCAGTAGTTGTGTCTCGCAGGCTCTAGAGTGCAGGCTCAGTAGTTGTGGCGCTCAGGCTTAGCTGCTCTGTGGCACGTGGGATCTTCCCGGACCAGGGCTCGAACCCATGTCCCCTGCATTGGCAGGTGGATTCTTAACCACTGTGCCACCAGGGAAGTCCCTGTCACTGATTTTTTTTTCCCTTTCTGATGAAAGGAATATGATAAACAACCATATTCTATTTTTTTAAAAACCTTCTTTGATTTGCCTCCTATTTTATTATCTACCCCATTTTTCTGTCCTTCTTCCCAATGAACTTTATAAAGTATTGCTTATTCATAGTCTCTGTCTGCTTGTGCCCATTTCCTCACCTCATATTTTTTCTTTAACCCACTCATATTTGGGTTCAGTCTCCATTTTTCCACCCAAACTGCTCTCAATGCGTTCATCATATGGCATGCCTCTTAGTAATTATCATTTCAAAACTATTTGCTAAGTTTGGGGAAGGTGTAAATTATTCTTAAGCTTTTATTTAACGAGAAGATAATGATTTTTAACACCTTTTGCTGTGGGTGATAGCACCATTTAGGGGAGGTCATTTCTGATACTGAGAAATTGAGAACATGATGGCATGATAACATATGCTTAGAATTAAAGATTTTAACAGAGCACATTGGCAGGTTTTTAACAGTCTTATTTTGCAGTGGAGTTGATGAAAATTTACTGGATTGCCAGCCACTCCTCCCTCCTTTTAAAAAAAGCAGAGTAATAATTTTGGTAACTCTGTATTTCTTTGCAATGCTTATTAAAATATAGTCTCTACATGCCAATGTACTTGCTGCTGAGGAAGGAAAATAAGGTCTTTATGACATAGACAAATTGTACCATGGCCAGCGAAATTTAGAGAAGGCAATTTTAGAGTCTTTTACTAAAGAGGAAAGTAGATTTGAAACATGGACATATATTTTTAATACATAAATTTATGAGAGCAACAATGTTTAATTGTCCTAAGGAGCTGAATATTGTTGTCAGTACTTTACAGAGTTGCCAGCAGTTGACCATTTTCAAAAGTTTATTACTTCGTTATTGGCACTATGTGGACTACACTATTTGTAATTAAACAACCCTTACCTCCTCCTCCACTTCCATCCTGGTATAAGAAATGCAGTATAGTGAGAACATCAACTTGGTGTCAGAAGATCTGAATTCTGGTGTCTTTCTCTGCTACTAATTTCTGTAACCTTGGGCAAATTGTCTGACTGGTCTAGACTTCAGTGTAAGGGGAGAGTTGGAATGTTTTTTAATATTTTAAATCCTATGAGAGTGATTTCATATAAAGAGCTTAGTAGTTACTAGACTAGGTGTGTAAATTTTTTTAGCTTTAGAGTTGTTTGTTAAGAGCTAAGCTTAAGTCATCTAAGTATATTAACTGTACAATCATCGTAGGATTTGTTGACTTTTAATTTAAAATTTTGAAAGTAATGACTTTATTCTGGAGTGCTAGATTATTACAGACATATATAACTACATTCAAGCAGATATACAAGTGTGTATATATATTATTATAATTCAGAATAGAAGTAAGCATATAAATTACTGAATCGTTCTTTTTTTTTAAAAGCTAGTGTTACACTATTATATATAAAGTAGATAACTAATAAAGACCTACTGAATAGCACAGGGAACTCTACTCAATACCCTGTAATGACCTATATGGATAAGAATCTAAAAAGAGTGGATATATGTATATGTATAACTGATTCACTGTGTTGTACACCTGAAACTAACGCAACATTGTAAATCTACTATACGCCAATAAAAATTTTTTACAAACAAAACAAAAGAAAGCTAGTGTTAAATTTTTTTATAGTTTCCTCTCAGTGTTTTATCTGCATTTTAAAATCATAGCCAGTTTTGTGAAGTGTGCAGTTATTCTAACAAAACCAGTCTAAATTAGCAGTACAAGTTTAGGGGAAAAGGGGAGGTTTGTTTAAACTGCTCATTTTCTTCAGTTTTTAGATTATGAAGTTCCTTATAAGTCATATTGTATGATATCATATGAAAAATTATCCAGTTAAACATTGGAAAAGCTATTTCTGTATACTTATACTTCCTCCTTTTCAAAATCTTTCCAATAAATATAATTATTAGAATTTGTCAGTCTTAAAACATAGAAGTAATCTGTTTTACTTTTATGTATTTAAAATATTAACTAGCATTTTGGATGTCCAAATATTATGTACTGCCAAGTCCCTTTATCTACTGAGTGGTATATAATTTGTTTAAATCATAGTCTTAAGTTGAGATTTAAAGTTTATTTCCAACAAGATTATTTGAAATTATTTTCTTCCAATAGAAACTTTAAAAAATGGAGGATAGTAAGGTTTGGTAATAACAGAAAAGGAAACTGACTAAATAGAAAGTAGTACATTAGTTAAAGAACTAATTATCTAATAAGTTTAATAGTACAGTGTATTGAAAGATATGTTGTTATTATCTGGGCACAAGGTACTTCTGGCAGTTACTGGATTGGTCAGTTTAATGTGTAGTCTCTGAGTATAAATAGAGATTGAGGTTTTGGTTGCATTGATTCAGAATAAGCAAAAATTAATGTTGAGAATTTATTTTTAAAATATTATACAAGTATATGTGCCTAAAAAAAAAATTACAGTTACAGCCAAAAGAATCGAAATAACTGATGCACTTTATTTTCTTCTTAGCTCCTGGAGCCTGTCTGCCACCAGCTGTTTGAGCTCTACCGTAGCTCTGAAGTTCGACTTAAGAGGTTCACGCTGCAGTTCTTGCCAGAATTGATGTGGGTTTATTTACGGCTTACAGTTAGCCGAGACAGACAGAGTAATGGTTGCATTGAAGCACTACTTTTAGGAATTTACAATTTGGTAAGTGGAAAATGATAGTTTGGGAAATTTTAAGTATTTTTTAAAGTCCTCTGAAATAATACTTGAAGAATATTTAGAGGAAAATAAATTTAAATGTCTCTTGAATAACTTATTTGAATTAATTAAATTGAGTACAGAGGTGTTTAATAAGTAATTGCTGGTAATGCATTTTATAAAGTAGGTGAAACTTATAATTGATAGCATTATTAATATTTTATGGCTTATTTTTCTAATTATTTTATTTGACTGATATTTATGAATGCCTTGCATTTAATTTTTTTAATTTATTTTTAATCATTTGATAAAACATTATGTATTTGATACATTATTTATGAAACTTTTTTCTTCTAAGGATTTCTTAAGTACCTTAAACGTTATTATTCTGTTGTTGTTGTTTTTTTCCCTCCTGGTGCCCAGTTTAGAGCATTGGTATTGAAATTCCTGCCCTTTGAATTCTTATATTCTGTGTATTCACTGTAAACAGATACTCCACATATTAAAGTTAAGTTTGTAGTTGAGAGGTACCTCAACCAAAGTACCTCACAAAACATTGAATCTCAAAAAAAATAAATATTCTTCTGCACCAGTGCTCATTCCTCTAAGTATTATCCCTCAAAAAATCATTAAAAACCATTTCCATCACTAGAATCTGAAGGACGGAGCTTGGCCTGTGGAATCACTTGTATTTTGTTTAAAATCAGGTACTGTCACTTACTGGCTGTTTTAAATTTAAGCAAGTTACTTAATATCTTGACTTCAGTTGCTTCGTCCTGTAAAACAGAAATAAAACATTGTTAGTAGGATTGAAAGCAATTAGAAGAACCCAACATGTTTCCTGAGGTGTTTATCGAATGTTTACCACTATTATTATAAATAGTAGTAGTAATAGTTGTACCATAATTAAAGATGAGTTTTTTTAATGAAAAGCTGGTGTAGGTATAAAATTCTTTATTTTGCTACCTTGCCTGATTTTTTCTTTTAAAGTAGGAAATTTGTTTCACATATCACTGTGTTTCTAGTGCTTAGCAAGGCACTTAGTAAATGTTGATTTAAAAATTGTGTTTAGTGTTTTAGATTATGTTTGACATTAAGCTATCATTTGTCTTGTTTAATGTAATAAAATTCAGTAGTGGGACAAATGAAGCAAAAAATTTTGTATAGTGGGATGCCTGACAAGTTCTTGTCAGTACTTGTTGGTGCTATGGTTTAATTATCTTTTGGTATCTCAAAAATAGTGTACTGTTTTGGGCTTCCCTGGTGGCGCAGTGGTTGAGAGTCTGCCTGCCAATGCAGGGGACACAGGTTCGGGCCCCGGTCCGGGAGGATCCCACATGCCGTGGAGCAGCTGGGCCCGTGAGCCATGGCCACTGAGCCTGTGCGTCCGGAGCCTGTGCTCCGCAACGGGAGAGGCCACAGCAGTGAGAGGCCCGTGTACTGCAAAAAAAAAAAAAAAAAAATAGTGTACTGTTTTAAAAATGCTCCATTATATATCAGAAATGTAACGTTAGGTTTCTGTCTTCTTTTAATTCCCTTGATACCTGTGTTCTTTCTTCTCTGTGGTTCTCGATTTTTCTTACCACACTGGATTTCTTTTATATATTAATTTCTCTTTTTTTCTTCTTTTCTCACTCCAGCATTTCTCCCTTGCTTCAGTAGCCCAAGAGAGAGTTTTATATTGCCCTCAACTTAAAAAAATTTCATAACACCCTTCTCCACAGATATATACACAGATATAAATAAAAAGTGTTGGGCTTAATTTGAAATTTAGGAATAAAAATTAAAATTTTATTGCCTAACTTAAATCAGGCCCATTCATCTTAGCATAGATGTTCTCTGAGGCACAGTGGCCCAGATGTGGTGGTAACTGTTTTGCCTACAGAGTAGTTAAATGATCTTTCTAGGGATTTTTAAACCATTTTCCTGCCAAAATTAGGGGTATGGCCATTGTTCACATGTAATTGGTACTCTCCTGTGACATATTAAACCCCAAAACTAGCCCTATAGGGAAGTTCTTTTGGGTTTGTGTCTTGGTGATGATAGTTGGGTTTTTTTCCTGTTGTTTCTTCCTCTTATGCTGTGCAACTACTCAGTCTCTCTCTGACTACCTTCCTTCTAGGCAGTCTTCTCTGCATTTTATGCCAGTTATGTATACTAATATGAGTTTTAAAAGAAACAGACTAAAGACGGTAGAGAAAAGGAGTGATGCAGGAGGAGCATTTCACCTCTCTAATTGCTGGCGTCTGTAGGCAGTTTTTTTTTTTAAACATTATTAGATCTTTTATTATTTTTTTAATAGGATCTCATATCTATTTTTTTGGGGGGGGGAGTGCTGCACTGGGTTTTCCTTGCTGCCCGCAGGCTTTCTCTAGTTGCGGCAAGCGAGGGCTACTCTTTGTTGGTGGTGTGCGGACTTCTCATTATGGTGGCTTCTCTTGCTGTGGAGCACGGGCTCTAGGCATGTGGGCTTCAGTATTTGTGGTGCGTGGGCTCAGTAGTTGTGGCTCACGGGCTCTAGAGCACAGGCTCAGTAGTTGTGGCGCACCGGCTTAGTTGCTCTGCGGCATGTGGGATCTTCCCAGACATGGGCTCGAACCCGTGTCCCCTGCACTGGCGGGCAGATTCTTAACCACTGTGCCACCAGGGAAGCCTTGTGTTTCATATTTTAATAAGTGTGGATTTCTCAGCTAAAACCTTTCATTTTAATTTTTTATGTGGTGATTCTACCTTTAGCTTTCTGAGGAACCTCCATACTGTTTTCCATGGTGGCTATACCAACTTACATTCCTAACAGCAGTGTAGGAGGGTTCCCTTTTCTCCATACCTTCTCCAGCATTTGTTATTTATAGACTTTTTAGTGATGGTCATTCCGACCAGTGTAAGGTGGTATCTCGTAGTTTAGATTTGAATTTCTCTAATAATTAATAATGTTGAGCATCTTTTCATGTGCCTACTGGCCATCTGTATGTCTTCTTTGGAGAAATGTCTATTAAGGTCTTCTACACGTTTTTCGATTGGGTTGTTTTTTTTGTTGTTGAGTTATATGAGCTGAGATTTTGGAGATTAAGCCCTTGTCTGTCGCATCATTTGCAAATACTTTCTCCCATTCCAAAAATATGGAACACTTCACGAATTTGCATGTCATCCGTGTGCAGGGGTCATGCTAATCTTCTCTGTATCATTACAGTTTTAGTATATGTGCTGCCGAAGCAAGCAGTGATTTTAATCTTCTAAGTTCAGTCATGTTTCAACTAAAAGATCTGATCACTTGCAATCTCCCTAGCCTGTATGTAAATTTATCATGAAATTTGTGTACCTACTTCATGTCTTTGTTGTCATGGTGTATTTGATTGATTGTAGTATTATATCTTTCAGTGTCTCTCAAAGGATAACTCAACTACCAAAGTGTACAAATCTGCTAATAGGTTAGAAAAGATACACTAGGGTAATAATATTTTTGTATATTACTATTTCTAAACATTCTCCTCAATTGCCAGTGATATATTTGTTAAGAAAGTAATTATTATTTCTTTTAATATAGTCCTGTGATTATTTCATTATCTCTGCTTTTTTTTTTTAACCATAGGAAATTGCTGATAAAGATGGGAACAATAAAGTTCTGTCTTTTACTATCCCTTCCTTATCCAAGCCTTCAATATACCATGAGGTAAGTAAGACTGGAAAGGTAGAATTTTTAAAAATTATGTTGAGTAAGTCAATTTCTTACTAGAGATAAATATTCCTAACACATCTTTACTGATTTGTTTCTTAATGGAGATGTTTGTTATTAGTGATATAAAGCTGAGCTGTTGTCAAGGGAGAGAGAATGTAATTAATGGAAAATTTTCCTTGAGTTCTGGTTTATTTCTTTTTCATTCTTCTACCAGTATCATTTTTGGTCTTTTTTTTCAAAATTTTTTCAAAAATATTCTTTTAATTTTTTTGTCTTCCATATTAATTAGAAATCATCTATGTTAGATTGATTTATTTTCATTATTTTTTAGGAAAATAACTACACTTCTGATTTTTGCTTATATTTATTTGGTTGAAGATTGTGAGAACACTGATAATTATATAGGTAGATGACTCCTGTTGAGCTGAGCTCCTTCTGCCTGCTCTCTTTAAGGACATAGGCTTTGAATCAAGCTTCTTGTCTGTAGTGGCCTTCAGTGCATAAACTTGAGGAAAGCGCTTAAAGAAACTTTACCCGTAGTCTAAAAATTAAAATCCATTTTCTTACCAACAAACAGTATCCAGTTGCCTCATAGCTCTGTGCAACTATTTATTTTCTTAATTAATTCTCCTGGGGCTTTGTTTTGTGTTGAAAATAGAATGCCTCCTATTTAACCAGGGCCAATTTTAGCATAGAACATTTCTGAGTAATAGATTTTAACTGTGTTCCATGTATCAAGTTACAAAATAAAATGGAGGGTAGTGAAAAGTTTACAAATGGATGGTTCTTCTAACTTTAGAAACATGAAATCAATTATGTCACTATTAAAGAGACATTTGATCATAGTATTCTTGTTTGTGTTCCATAATTATAACTCTCTGAACCTTGCTTTCTTCATTGTGGAATGAGATTAATGAGAGCACCAAGCTTCCTGAAGTTAGAAAGACCTCCAGGTTTGAATGCATAGTCCCCAAGAGTGCTCTGAGTTCTGGAAACAAATTAAAGTTGATTCATTTGTAGCCTTTATTCTTTTCAGCGACTTTCCTTATTCTGTCCTAAATATAGATTCATTCCGTAATATTTCAAAAAACAAAGCACTGTATTTTTAGTTTTATATATTGTATAAATATTTTTTAAAAGGAGCTGTAGAATGTATATAATAGAAAAATGGAAGAGGTTTTGAAACGGAAGAAATGGACTGAAACTGTCTTTTGTTGAGACAGAACTAAATATCCTCACATGATATAGATTTTTACTTCATTTTAGAGACACAGTCTCATACTTTACCTTGTTTTTGTAGCCCTCAACAATTGGATCCATGGCTTTGACAGAAGGGGCATTGTGTCAGCATGATCTCATCAGGGTTGTTTACAGTGATCTTCATCCACAGAGGGAAACATTCACCGCACAAAACCGGTAATGGTCAAAACTGTAGCCAGTAGGGCTTCCCTGGTGGCACAGTGGTTGAGAGTCTGCCTGCTGATGCAGGGGACACGGGTTCGTGCCCCGGTCTGGGAAGATCCCACATGCCGCAGAGCGGCTGGGCCCGTGAGCCATGGCCGCTGAGGCTGCGCGTCTGGAACCTGTGCTCCGCAACAGGAGAGGCCACAACAGTGAGAGGCCCGCATACCGCAAAAAAAAAAAAAAAAAAAAACTGTAGACAGTAAAAATTGTTAATTTATGCTTAATAGTTATCTACAATTACTTTGGTTCAGGTTTGGTGTGATAAAAGACAAAAGTTAAATATGTCATACTAGTGAAATACATTATAGCAGTGAAATACTCATCCATAAACGTAGCAGCTCTTTGTTGATCAATAGAGAGTTGTTCACAGGGGCCCATCTAGGTGATAGATAGAATCTGGCAGATTGTCAGGTGATGCCAAAGTTGGCCCTAGGGAAAAAGAGGTTTCCTGCCTCCCTGCTTATGAGTACTATAAGTACTTCTTTCCATTCCCTTGGTAGCATGTTTCTGTACAAACTATTTGCACCTTATTATGGAACTCTTCTGGCACTTATAATGGAACTCTTCTGGCACTTACTATGGAACTTTTCTGGTGTTTTTCTGACATTACCCAAGATATTATGGATATTTCAGATTTCAGGATTATTTTATGTTTCAGTCATGGGGCAGTCTCACTTCATACCCGTTGGTAAGCAGGTTGTCTCTCAAATGGAAATTTTCTGGTCCCAAATCCCAGAATTTGTTGCTAGGTGGCACTTACTGGCTTCTGCCATAAGCTCAAGTCTGTATTCCACACAGGGCTGTTGTTCAGCAAATTAATGACCTTGTAGGCTTGGGCAATCTTATTGATCCCAGTTTAGCATGTTCTATTAATATTAGAGGAAGGATGGATGGATTTACATGCCTTCTGTTTTACAATACTAGATAGGGGAAGTGTTCCTCAGACACAGACACAGTATCTGTTCCCATAATGCATTCAGGTAAATGAGACACAGTCACTTCACATAAAGTTCACCCAAACTTTCACCTTAATCCTATCAATCATCACAGTCTTATAGCCTTTGAATCTAGCCATTACCAACAAAGAGAGCCTGTGTCACCAGCCTCCACTCTAAACAACTTATCAGGTATGACATAGGTTACTTCCCAGAAGCTGAGGGCAAAGGCTAAAACTTGCTTTGGGCAAGGCCAAATTTTTTACCGTACATTGCCCTGCATGGTTATTGTGAGCAATAAATGAGATGATGCTTAAAACATGCTTAGCACAGTGCCTGGAACGTAATATATGTTAGTGATACTATTATTATTATTCTTTTTTACAAAGTGTTTATTTATTTATTTATTTATTTATTTGGCTGTACCGAGTCTTAGTTGCGGCCTGCGGGATCTTTGGGATCTTCGTCGCGGCATGCAGGGATCTTTAGTTGCGGCAGGTGAACTTTTAGTTGTGGCATGTGAACTTTTAGTTGTGGCATGTGGGATTAGTTTCCTGACTAGGGATCAAACCCAGGCCCCCTGCATTGGGAGTGCAGAGTCTTAGCCACTGTACCACCGAGGAAGTCCTGATACTATTATTTGTTATATAATATTTTATGTTCATAGTAAAATAGTACTCTTATCTTATTGGTTATAATAACAATTTATTATAATAAGCAGATTTCTAAATTATTGACCTTTGATCAAGTGCTTCAGTCTAGAATTCCAGTTCTTCTTAAGGGTCTTTCCAATATTACACATATGATAGAAAACACAGTGGCTTCCCTTGTTTCCTAACATATTGGAATTCAGCTTTAGTGATTGTTCTTTATTAGCCAGTAGGGTGCTGTATAACACCTGGAGAAGGCCTTATCCCACCTTAAAGTAACAACTTAATTTTTTTCTATACAGTTATGTTGGGGTACTCAAATCATTTAATAATAGAAAATGTATATTAGAATAGTGGTTCCTAAGTACTGTTTGCAGACTAGTTTGTATAAAAATCATCTGGTTACCTGATTCCTTTTTTGTTTTCTCATTTTCATTTTTTAAAGTATAACAATATATACTTCTGGTACATTTAAAATAGAACAGAGTATAAAGTAAAATTAGGCAAGAGTACAAAGAGAAAAGTATATGTCCTCTTCCCTCTAACCACCCATTTCTACTCTCAGTAGTTAAATTATTAGCAGTTTTTTAAGTGTCCTTCCAGAAAATTTTCATGCATGCAAAAGCATATATTCAGCCTTAAACACTTGCAGACCCATACACACTGGATTCATTTGTACATGTTGTACAACTTGCTTTTTTTTTTTTTTGGCCACGCCACGTGGCATGCGAGATTTTAGTTTCCCCCACCAGGGATTGAGCCCGCACCCCCTGCAGTGGAAGCATGGAGTCTTAACCACTGGGCCACCAGGGAAGTGCCCATACTATCAGTTTTTAACCATTCTCATTCTGACTAAAATTTAGATTTTTTCCAGTTTTTTTAAACAATCTTATAAGGAACACAATATTTTTTGTATAAATATTTGCATGGGAGCACCAAAGTATCTGTAAAATAAATTCCTAACAGTGAAATTGCTGTGCTAAAGAATGTCTGCTTTTTCAGTTTGAGTTAGTATTGCCAAATTACCGTCCCCAAAACCCATGGACTAATTGAATCTCCTACGAGTAGTTTGAGAGTGCCTCTTTCCTCATACTAACCCCCAGTACTGGATATTTTCAAATTTTTTAATCTTTGCCAATCTGAACATTAAAAATTGATGTCACATTATTTTACTTAGCATTCCTTTAATTATGACTAGGCTTGAATGCTTTTAATATGTTAATTCATTAGGTATTTTTCCTGACCTGTGAACTGCATATTCATGTCCTATGTCCGTATTTCTTTTTTTTTTTTCATATTTATTATTGAACTGTGTATTTTTTTCCTAGTGATTGGCAAGGATTTTATTTGTTTATTTATTTATTTTGTTTGTTTGTTTGCACCGAGAGGCTTGCGGGATCTTAGTTCCCCAGCCAGGGATTGAACCTGTGCCCTCTGTAGTGGAAGCACAGAATCTTAACCACTGGACCGCCAGGGAATTCCCCAAGAGTTTTTTAAATATTGAGGAAACTGCACTGTGTTTTATACTTGCACATTTTAAGTTAATTACTGACTTTTAAATTTATTTTAAATTAAGATATAATTCACATACCATAAAATTCACCCCTTTAAAGTATACAATTCAATGATATTTAGTGTATTCACAAGCTTGTGCATCCACTACCATTAGCTAATTCCAGGATGTTTTCATCACACTAAAAAGAACTCCCCTTTCCTTTCTCCCCAGCCCCTGGCCACCATGTATCTCACTTTCTATCTCTATGGTTTTGTATATTTTAGACATTTCATATAAGTGGAATTATACAGTATGTGGCCTTTTGTGGTGTCTGGTTTCTTTTACTTAACATGTTTTCAAGTTTTGTTTATGTGGTAGTGTGTAGTTCCTTTGTATGACTGAATAATATTCCATTATGACAATATACATTTTGTTTATCCATCCATCCATCAATTGATGGATATTTGGGTTATTTCCAGTTTTGGAATATTTATGAATAATACTGCTGTCAACATTTGTTTGTTTACAAGTCTTTGTGTAAACATTTTCAGTTCTTTTGAGCATATACCTAGTGGAATTGCTGGGTTATGTGGTATTTATTTCATTTTATTTTACTTTATTTTATTTTTATTTTTTGGCTCTACCACATGGCATGAGGAACTTCCCTGACCAGGGATCGAACCCGTGCCCCCTTCAGTGGAAGTGCGGTGTCTTAACCACTGGACCACCAGGGAAGTCCCTATATGGTATTTAACTTAATACTTAACTTTCTGAGGAACTGTCATATTGTTTTCCAGAGTGGTATACCATTTTGCATTCCCACCAGCAGTGTATGATAGTTCCAGTTTCTCAACATCCTCACCAGTACTTATTTTCCATCTTTTTTATTATATCCATCCTAGTGGGTATGACAATTGGTATCTCATTATTGTGCTATTGTTTTGTCTTTGCTGTATATTTTACTTTTTTATATAGCCAACTGTATCAGTAATACACATACACACACACCCTTTTTTTTCAGTTAAATGTGCATTAATCCTACAGAGCTTATTAAGAACTGCAATCTCCAGCTCCCTCTCCCTTCCACTTCTCCCTTCCCAGATGTAACAACTTTTAACCAGTGGTTTTCAGCCAGAGCACTTCTGCCCCCCAGGGAACATTTGGCAATGTCTGGAGACTTGTTTGGTTGTCACAACTGAGTGGGAGGGAGGACTGCTACAGGCATCTCAAGTGTAAAGGTCAGGGATGCTGCTCAACATCCTGCCATGCCTGGGCCAGCCCCCCACAGCACTTATCTAGCCCCAAATGCTGATAGTGCTGAGGTTGAGAAATCTTGCTTTTCATATTTACCTCCACTTCTTTGAGTAATTTACTGCTTTTTAATTTTTCACTTTGGGGCATTATCTAATAACTTATCTCTAGGAAAGATAAAAATTTAGGTTGTTAACCTCTCTCATTGTCCTATCTTATGTTGTAATTATGGGGAACTCATTATTTAGATTTCTCATCATTATGAATGATCATTGTTCATCGGAGCTATTCAGGCTGAGCTTTGTGATTAGTTTATTACTTTTCCTTTCCTGCATATCTTTTTGTTTCCCTTGAAGTTCATCATTGGCCTTTTGTTTTCTTTGTTTACTATGTGCTTTGTAATTCAACCCTGCAAATTTTCTATCAGTTTTCTACATAGCCTTCCAAGACTTCATTTACACCAGTTATTTTCTCAGTTTTATCTCAGAACCTTTTGACTTACTCCAATCTGGACTGTGTTGCCCTCTTTGCCTGGTGTACACATTATCTTGGGATCTCCCCTCTCTTTTATCCTGGGAATTCTCTTTGTCTTTTTCCTGTGTGGATGGATCCACTGTTTCCTGCACCCTATATCCTCATTCTTCGTTCTTAGTATTCTGAAATTCCATGGTGGTACTTCTTGGTGTGGGTTTATTTCCTCCTTTGTGCTGAGCACTATGTGGACCTTTTCTATTTAGAAACTCATGTCCTTCAGACTGGGAATTTTCTTGAATTATTTTTGTCAATTAGTTTAGGCTCCCCATTTTATCTGGTCTTTTACTATTTGTCTTTTATCTATCTCGTCTTTTATTATCTTTCTTCTGGAGCTTTTATTATTTCAATGTGGGAACTCCTACTTCCATTCATCATATCTTTTTCCTTTTGCTTCACTTTCTGTGGTATTTCCTCAACTTCATCCACCAATCCTTTTCTTGAGTTTTTAATTTCTGTCATCATATTTTGTATATCTAAAAGATGTTCTTGTTTTCTGAATGGTCTTTTAAAATAGATCCTTTTTGGTGTTTTTGGTTCTTTTATTTTTTGAAACAACATCTCATCTTTTAGAATATTAATGATAATTTGCTTTATTTTTTCCTCTTCTGTGTTCTCTGTGTCCTCCAAATTGTGCCCCCGCCACCCCCCATTTCTTTATTTTGATCTCATTTTCATGTTAGTGAAGTTCTTCAGGTGTCTGGTAATCCTTTTTTCCCGCTTATGTTTAAAAGTAGGGGAATAAAAAAAATGAGAAGCTATGACCATGTTGGTAGGGCTAATTGACGGTGAACTTCACAACTTCTCACTGGGCCATCCAGCTGGGGAACTTCCCAAGTCCATATCATTAAGTCTTTCCTCTTAGGGTGGTCAGATTCCCCAAAGAACACTCTTCCAGTCTCTTAACCAGAGGGCTTGCTGCTAGCATTCTGTGACCACATGGGGAAGGAGGACTTGAGGTCTCAATATCCAATAAGACCTATTTCACTTAAGTTTTCTATTTTCAGTATCTTCCCTTCCTCCCCCACCCCCCACCCTGACCCCAAATCATAATTGTGCCTGGTGGTTCCCAGGTAGAAACTTCTCTTTTATCCTTTCAGAAAATAAATCTTCAATAAACCTAGCAGCATAGAGAAGGAGAAAGGATCTGAAGATGTGCCTGCTTCCACGTCAGACTTTCAACTCACTTTTTACCTTTTCATTTTGAAATAATTTCTGGCTTACAAAAAATGTTTCAAAAATAGTACAGTGCGTTTCCATATACTCTTCACCACCTATGGGAAGCTTTTTAGACAAACAACATTCCTGGGTCCTGCCCTCAGAGATTCTAATTGGGTCAATCTGGGTTGAGACACAGGAATATATTATTCCAAAATGTCCTTAAATAACTATAATGTGCATCCAGGCTTAGGAGCCACTTTCTTAGTGATCATAAAGATTAGGAAAGCATTCATTTATTCATTCAGTAAAAATTAATTGAGCAGTAATAATGTATTAAACACTATACTGGACACTAGAGTTAGAGATGAATAAATCAGGGTCTGTGTCCTAAAGTTGCTTATTACTAAATAGATAAAACAGAGGTAAAGACAGAGTTGATTTAGTGGGATAAATGCTGTATTAGAGGTACACAGATAAAGGGAACAGTGTTTGTTTGTTTTAGTTAGAAGAATTAAGAATGGCTTTATGTCTGAGATTAAAGTTTGAGCCAGGATTTGAAAGCTTAGCAGGAGTTTCCCAAGTGAAACGTATGTTCTAATAAGAAAGGGTAGCATCCATAAAAGCAAGGAATTATGAAAGGTTATGGCATATTCATGGAATGGTATAAGATTGATGTAGTGTGGTGTATGTGGTAGACAGTAGAGGGAAGTAGGGTTGGAGAGGTAGGTTGAGGGTGGGTTTTAAAGGACTTTGTATGCCATGATGAGTTTGGGCTTTATCATGCAGTCAGTAGGAATAGTGGATTAATGTAGCATAGAGGAGTCATCTGTTCAAGCATGATGGGGGTTTTCCTGAGGAAGAAAATATAGATGGCAGCAAGAGCTGTGACCTTTAATAAGGCAAATGGAAATAGGGAAATTATTGAGGAGGATATTATAGTAATCTGATTGAGAAATTATGAAGGTCAATATTAAGGCATTGTTGTTATAACCATCAAACGAATAAATCATTTACTACAGTCTCTAAGTAGAAATAATTGTAATCCTTTTTCCTTGTTTTTATTTTTTCTAGGTTTGAAGTCCTGAGTTTCCTTATGTTATGTTATAATTCTGCTATTGTGTATATGCCTGCTTCATCTTACCAGTCTCTTTGCCGAATGGGCTCCAGGTAAGAATAATAATTATCATTAACCTTCACACATATTTATTGAGCACATTCTCTCTGGTAGGCACTGTTCTAACTTCTGGTGATATAGCAGTAAACAAAACTCAGGGAACTTACATTCCTATAGGAATCCTATCATCCCTCATGCATCATGATTTCTTGAAAATATTTCAGTTATTAAAGAAGCATTTTCTAGCTCAACATTGAGCTAAGCCAAGATGTTTTAGGTTTAGGGTGGTTTAGTGATAGACCTAGTCACTGCCCGGATGCTAATTTTTATAAATCACTTTGAGTGATTTGAATAAATAGTCCTCTATGTAGAGAAAGTCGTAAGAAACATGAACTTTTTCCTTTATATATCTCACAAGTAACTGTCTGCTTTGGATAAGATTAGCAGTGACATTAATTATGTGTATGTCTCATTTGTATTTGTATATTCTAATCTTTACTAAATCAGAATTTCTAATAATTTGGACAAACCTGAGCTGAAATTTTAAATTTCCACTGTTGAAAAAAAATTAAGTAATATAAATGAGTTTGGAGACAGAGGAGCAGAATTTTAATTATAGAAGGAACACTCAGTTTATCCTGCCCAGTTGATTTTTATTTGAGGAAACTAAGCCCTGACAAAAGTTAAATGCTATTTTAGTTTTTCTATTGCCTCATAACAAATTACACCATGAATTTAGTAGCTTAAAATAGCATGCATTTATTATTTCAGTTTCTTGGGGTTAGGAGTCTAGGTATCATTTAGGTGGACCCTCTGCTTAGGGTATATTACAAGCTGCAGTTAAGATGTTGGCTGGAGTTGCAGTCTTATCTGCGGTTCATTTGAGGAATTATACACTTCTCTTGGCAAAATTCAGTTCCTCTAGTTGTAGGACAGGCTTCATTTTCTTGTTGACTGTCTGCTGAAGGCCAGTGGTCAGTTCCTCTTACGTAATGTAATCACATAATGTGTACATGTACACATGAGAATCCTATCACCTTTGCCTTGTTACAAGCAAATCACAGGTTCCACCCACCCTCAAGAGGGAAGGATGACACAAGGGTGTGAATACCAGGAAGGAGGGATCATAGGGATCAGGGCCCCTGACCCCACCCTCCAAAGAGTCTGCCCACTGCAAATGCTGTTGTATTATTGGGAAGAGACCAAAATTCAGTTTTGCTAAATGGAGGAAGGCCGATCTAAATTAGCTGTGAGATTGATTTATAGATTATCTTAAAGTTCACTTGCCTATAATAACGTGATTAATGACTAACAAAATTCTTGTCTCGGGCTTCCCTGGTGACGCAGTGGTTGAGAGTCCGCCTGCCGATGCAGGGGACACGGGTTCGTGCCCCGGTCCGGGAAGATCCCACATGCCACGGAGCGGCTAGGTCCGTGAGCCATGGCCGCTGAGCCTGCACATCCGGAGCCTGTGCTCCGCAACGGGAGAGACCACAACAGGGAGAGGCCACAACAGTGAGAGGCCCGCATACCGCAAAAAAATTCTTGTCTTTAACCTAGATACTGTTATCAAGAGAGTATACTGTTTAAACACTTGCTGCCTATCTACAGATAAATTTATTTATAAATGACTATTTTTGAGCTCATTAAAACAAATCTGCCATATCTCTAATTGGTAACATTATTGTGGCATGAAATAGAGTTTCTTAATAACAAAAGTGGGGGCTTCCCTGGTGGCGCAGTGGTTGAGAGTCCGCCTGCTGATGCAGGGGACACGGGTTTGTGCCCCGGTCCGGGAAGATCCCACATGCTGCGGAGTGGCTGGGCCCGTGAGCCATGGCTGCTGGGCCTGCGCGTCTGGAGCCTGTGCAAAAAAATAATAATAATAAAAAAAGTGATGATAGAGTTTGGTAGTCCTCAGAATTTTATTCACATATCCCCTAAGGAATTTCGAAGAACTGTGTAGCCTTTGTACACTTTTAAGTTAACATTTAATTTTTTTATTCTGTTTTAAACAGTTGTAAATTATATGATTTCCAGTAGGTAAATATTGACATAATAAAACAAATAATTGTTGATCACTATTTTAAATGTCTATAATGTAAATACACAGTGATCTGATTGATAACCACCATCATCACATGTATGGAATAAATGAACAAGCTTTTAATAGTCTAACATTCTTTTTCTCCTTAAAATTGAATTTCTGTTCCACTTTATCCACATAATTTTATCCTAATATTGTGCCATATTATACTTACAAATCTTTTATTGATCACCTAATTATACATCTCTGCTACCAAAAAAATGCGTACATTAAAAATTTAAAAATATTTCCTGACCATAATGCACGAAACACTAAAAAATTTCTTCTGAACTCACCATTACAATTATTCTAATAAATTAATTCCTTAAAATAATAGAAGTACATAACAGTTTTTGATAATTATTAAGGGTAACTTTTCTGGAAGCATCTCTTAATGAGATGGAAAACAGAATTGTTTATGATACCTTGGTTATTTGTTTTGAGATTTCTGTATCTTCCACTAATTCCATCCTCATTCAATTTGGGATGTGTGAAAGTTATACATTTCTTTTGTGAAGAGGGAGAAGGATGATTATGAAAGAGATACCTATTTGAGAAAAGTTATTACTTTTATTGATATAGTCCACTAGAATATATGTTTTATGAGGGCACAGATTTTATTTTTATCTTTTTGCCTGTTTACAACTGTATTCATGGGCCCAGGGCAGTGACTGACACATAGCAAGTACTCAAAAAATATTTGAGAAATGAGTCATTGAATAAGTGAATTTATGGAAACAAAAATGTTTTATTTAATGTATCAGGAAATCACGTGATAAATAATGTATTTTCCTAGGGTTTGTGTGAGTGGGTTTCCACGGCAACATGAAAAACACTGGAAAGAACTCTGTGGTCGAATAGTATTGGATCCCGAATTTATGGTGCAACTTCTCACAGGAGTTTATTATGCCATGTAAGTAGGTGTACTGTGAAATTGGTGAATTCTTTCTAGTGTTTGGAAACTTATGTTTCTCTTTTTTCCTTACTAGTTGCACAACACTGAATTTTTTGTTCCATTATGGACCCAGTATCTTGTTTTTCTAATATGAATTTCTTTTAGTACTTTTTTTTTTTTTAGAGAAACTTGTTATTAAATTTAATTTTCTTTAAGTACATACCTTTTTCCCACCCTCACCCACTTGGGGGAGGAATAGAAAACCCCTACCCCTTCCATTTGGGGGATTCCATGTATAAAGCCTGAGATGGTGAGGGTGAAGTATAAAAATACTATTTACAAAGGGGAAGAGGGTGTCCACTGCGACCTTAATATTCAGACACCCCCATCCCCAGGTCCCTTTTTGCTCCTTTAGAAAAAACCCTGGGAATCCATTTGCATGTAGACCAAGCCCTTCCTCTGGGGCGGTGGATACTCAAACCCCAACAAGGAATAGGAAGCTCTGAGATCAACCAAAGAACAGGGAACGGATAGCACCTCAGATCTAGGAGGGGGAGGGGGCTGCCCTCTACCCGCCTGTAGTCAGCAGGCCGGCCAGCCAGCCTTTGTTTCCATAGGTCCCAGGTAAACATTGACTTTTCTTCTGTTCATCCCTGTTCTTCATGATTTCCTACAGAGCCTCCCTCGCTTCCACTGGAGGCACTTGGTTCCTCCATCTTTCCTTCCCTTCTAACCTTCCTCTGGAAGGAGTGGGGAGGGGGCAGGGAGGTCACAGGTCGGGCAGAGCCCATCTCATCCCTTCTTGTAGGTCAGGACAGCTTGTCCTCCTCAGCGGAACCCTCAAGGGAGTGTGCTCTAAGTTCTTGGCCAAATAGGAATGGATTTCTTTTCCCAGAGCAGGGACAAGGCAGGCAGATAGTCCAGTACCAGGATACAGTGTTCCTGATGGGCAAGTCCATCAAAACTGAGTAGCAGGGAAGAAGGCTTCAGGAAGCAGAGAGGTGGGCAAGTCTAGTCTCACTCTGATGCTGGAAGACCAGACCTGCACCCCCGCCCCTCCAGGTGAGCATGCCCATCACCACCCACCAGTCTTGTTCGCTGCAGCTTTGCGGAAGGACCAGGCACCCATGAGGCTAGAGGTCTTCTCCAGGCCTTGGTATGGAGGCAGCACTCACACCAGCTTATCCAATAGGATCCCGATGCTCTGGGTGGCCTCTGAGGGACCAGCAATGGACTTGTTACACATGGGGCAGACACAGCATACTTCCAGCCACTTCACCAGACACTTGTGGTGAATGGCATGTTGGCATGAGAGCACAACCTGCTCATCCTTCCCCTTGGAGTCTTCCAGACAGACTGTACAGGTCTGCCCATATAACTGTAACTTCTTGGCATCACCTTTAAGCATCACCACTTTATATCCATATCGTTTGCTCTGTGCCTGGTTCCAGAGTTTGCTGATAAAATAGCAGCAGAAGATGAGGCTGAGTATGAAGACAAAGATGTTTGTGCCGAAGATGACCATGTAGATGTTATGGGGAAGGTCTTGGAAACTGATGGGTGGCATTGAGCAGGACTTGTTGGTGCTCACCAGTCCCAGGCCGCAGAAAAACCCATTACACCACTGGAATGGGTGCATCAGTGAACTCTTGGCTGGCTTCCTCAGGCGAACGAACGCAGGCGGCGGGTAGGGCAGGCGGGCTGGGCGCACTGGCTTGCGGGCTTGCAGGAGGGGTGGATGCGGTGCGCGGCTGCTGCCTTCGTCTGCAAGTCAAACTCTCTTTTTTAGTACTTTTTAAAAAATGAATTACACATTTTATTTGAAAGCTATATAATAACAGACAATTGTTTTATTGAGATATAATTAAAATGTAAGACTGAATTAGTTTAAGGTGTACAACATAATGATTAGATATATGTTATATTGCAAAATTATTACCACAAGTTAACATCTATCACCACACATAGTTACATATTTTTCTTTTGATGAGAACTTTCAATATCTGCTCTGTCACCAACTTTCAAATATACAATACTGGATTGTTAACTATAGTTACCATGCTGTACATCATATCGCAGGATTTTATCTTATAACTGGAAGCTTGTACCTTTTGACCACCTTCACAATTTTTGCCCACCCCCGAGCCCCTGCCTCTGGCAACCATCAATCTTTCTGTATCTATGAGTGCAGTTACTGTTTTTTTTGTTTTGTTTTAGATTCCACAAGTATGATATTATACAGCATTTGTCTTTCTCTGTCTGACTTATTTCACTTAGCGTAATGCCCGCAAGATCCATCCATGTTGTCACAAATGGCAGGATTTCCTTCCTTTCTTTTCTTTTTTCCTTTTTTTTTTTTTTTGGCTGTGCTGCGTGGCATGCAGCAGTTCCCCAACCAGGGATGGAACCCAGGCCCCCTGCATTGGAACCGCGGAGTCTTAACTACTGGACCACCAGAGAAGTCCCAGGATTTCCTTTTTTTAATGACTGAATGATATCCTGTTGTGTGTATGTATGTGTATATATATATGCGTGTGTATATATATGTGTTGTATACACTTATGTACATACACTTACACATATGTGTGTATAATTGTATGTATACACATACTCTATACGCATACATTACATATACACACACACACACCATATTTTCTTTATTTACCTATCTGTCCACTTACAATTAGATTGTCTCCATGTCTTGGCTATTGTACATATGCTGCAGTGAACATGGGGGTTCAGATATTCTTTTGAGATAGTGATTTAGTTTCCTTCAGATATATACAGAAGTAGAATTGCTGGTTCCCTTTTCTCCACACCCTGTCCAGCATTTATTGTTTGTAGATTTTTTGATGATGGCCATTCTGACCCGTGTGAGGTGATACCTCATTGTAGTTTTGATTTGCATTTCTCTAGTGATTAGTGATGTTGAGCATCCTTTCATGTGTTTGTTGGCAGTCTGTCTATCTTCTTTGGAGAAATGTCAGTTTAGGTCTTCTGCCCATTTTTGGATTGGGTCGTTTGTTTTTTTGATATTGAGCTGCATGAGCTGCTTGTATGTTTTGGAGATTAATCCTTTGTCAGTTGCTTCATTTGCAAATATGTTTTCCCATTCTGAGGGTTGTCTTTACATCTCGTTTATGGTTTCCTTTGCTGTGCAAAAGCTTTTAAGTTTCATTAGGTCCCATTTGTTTATTTTTGCTTTTATTTCCATTTCTCTAGGAAGTGGGTCGAAAAGGATCTTGCTATGATTTATTTCATAGAGTGTTCTGCCTATGTTTAGAGGTTTATAGTGTCTGGCGTTACATGTAGGTCTTTAATCCATCTTGAGTTTATTTTTGTGTGTGGTGTTAGGGAGTGTTCTAATTTCCTTCTTTTACATGTAGCTATCCAGTTTTCCCAGCACCACTTATTGAAGAGGGTGTCTTTTCTCCATTGTATATTCTTGCCTCCTTTATCAAAGATAAGATGACTGTATGTGCGTGGGTTTATCTCTGGGCTTTCTATCCTGTTCCATTGATCTATATTTCTGTTTTTGTGCCAGTACCATGCTGTCTTGATTACTGTACCTTTGTAGTATAGTCTGAAGTCGGAGCCTGATTCCTCCAGCTCCGTTTTTCTTTCTCAAGATTGCTTTGGCTATTCTGGGTCTTTTGTGTTTCCATACAAATTGTGAAATTTTTTGTTCTACTTCTGTGAAAAATGCCGTTGGTAGTTTGATAGGGATTGCATTGAATCAGTAGATTACTGTGGGTAGTATAGTCATTTTCACAATGTTGATTCTTCCAATCCAAGAACATGGTATACCTCTCCCTCTGTTTCTATCATCTTTAATTTCTTTCATCAGTGTCTTATAGTTTTCTGCGTACAGGTTTTTTGTCTCCTTAGGTGGGTTTATTCCTAGGTATTTTATTCTTTTTGCTGCAATGGTAAATGGGATTGTTTCCTTAATTTCTCTTTCAGATTTTTCATCATTAGTGCATAGGAATGCAAGATTTCTGTGCGTTAATTTTGTATCCTGCTACTTTACCACATTCATTGATTAGCTCTAGTAGTTTTCTGGTAGCATCTTTAGGATTCTCTATGTATAGTATCATGTCATCTGCAAACAGTGATAGTTTTACTTCTTTTCTGATTTGGATTCCTTTTCTTTTTTTTTCTCTGATTGCTGTGGCTAAAACTTCCAAAACTATGTTGAATAATAGTGGTGAGAGTGGGCAACCTTGTCTTCTTCCTCATCTTAGAGGAAATGGTTTCAGTTTTTCACCATTGAGAATGATGTTGGCTATGGGTTTGTCATATACGGCCTTTATTATGTTGAGGTAGGTTCCCTCTGCCTACTTTCTGGAGAGTTTTTATCACAAATGGGTGTTGAATTTTGTCAAAAGCTTTTTCAGCATCCATTGAGATTATCATATGGTTTTTATTTTTCATTTTGTTAATATGGTTTATCACATTGATTGATTTGCATATATTGAAGAGTCCTTGCATTCCTGGGATAAACCCCACTTGATCATGGTGTATGATCCTTTAATGTGCTGCTGGATTCTGTTTGCTAGTATTTTGTTGAGGATTTTTGCATCTATGTTCATAACTGACATTGGCCTGGAGTTTTCTTTTTTTGTGACATCTTCGTCTGGTTTTGGCATTAAGGTGTTGGTGGCCTCGTAGAATGAGTTTGGGAGTGTTCCTCCCTCTGCTATATTTTGGAAGAGTTTGAGAAGGATAGGTGTTAGCTCTTTTCTAAATGTTTGATAGAATTTGCCTGTGAAATCATCTGGTCCTGGGCTTTTGTTTGGAAGATTTTTAATCACAGTTTCAATTTCAGTGCTTCTGATTGGTCTGTTTATATTTTCTATTGCTTCCAGGTTCAGTCTCAGAAGGTTGTGCTTTTCTAAGAATTTGTCCATTTCTTCCAGGTTGTCCATTTTATTGGCATATAGTTGCTTGTAGTAATCTCTCATGATCCTTTGTATTTCTGCAGTGTCAGTTGTTACTTCTCCTTTTTCATTTCTAATTTTACTGATTTGAGTCCTCTCCCTCTTTTTCTTGATGAGTCTGGCTAATGGTTTATCAATTTTGTTTATCTTCTCAAAGAACCAGCTTTTAGTTTTATTGATCTTTGCAATTGTTTCCTTCGTTTCTTTTTCATTTACTTTTGTTGTGATCTTTATGATTTCTTTCCTTCTGCTAACTTTGGGGTTTTTTGTTCTTTCTCTTGTTGTTTTAGGTGTAAGGTTAGGTTGTTTATTTGAGATATTTCTTGTTTCTTGAGGTAGGATTGTATTACTATAAACTTCCCTCTTATAACTGCTTTTGGTGTAGTGTCATGTTTTCATTGTCATTTGTTTCTAGGTATTTTTTTATTTCCTCTTTGATTTCTTCAGTGATCTCTTGGTTATTTCGTGGCATATTGTTTAACCTCCATGTGTTAGTATTTTTACAGTTTTTTTCCTGTAATTGATATCTAGTCTTATAGTGTTATGGTCAGAAAAGATACTTGATACGATTTCAATTTTCTTAAATTTACCAAGGCTTGATTTGTGACCCAAGATATGATCTATGGGCTTCCCTGGTGGCGCAGTGGTTGAGAGTCCG